AATAGTAAATTGCTTGACAAATATATCAAACTCTTGGAAAGCATCTATTTGGCTGCACAAAGAACAGTTTATATTTAATTGACTGTGAGCCACAACTCTAATTTATGAATCTCCCTTTTTATTTTTCCAAGTTGAATTCTGCACTCTTTCAGAATTCTTACAACTCCAACTTTTATAAGAGATAATTTTCAGTTTAATTCAAGGGAAACAAATGTACATAAGAACCAAATAATGGCTCATATAACATATCTGAAGCAGTTCCCCTCATCAAAATTTACTTGAAAAAGAGAATAAAATACTAGTTTGTTTCAGATTCACTAATATTGCTAAGCACTGCTTTACATTGTTTCGAATACATTATCAAAACACATAGTATCAGAAATTGTCAATATACAAATTCTCCCCCTTATCATCACTTAAAGCACTTCTGCAGAATCTTCAGAGTGATATCATTGGAAGTTATCACTTTTTTACTTTTTTGTAAATACTTAAAGATAAAACATGCCAACATGTTTTCTGAGGGTACAGACCTCAAACATTTTTTTAATTGATGTATACATGATTTACAACATTGTGCTAGTTTTTGGTGTAAAGCATAATGTTTCAGTTATACAAATATATATTTTTTCATATTCTTCTTCATTATAGTTATTACAAGGTACCGAATATAATTCCCTGTGCTATATAGTAGATTCTTGTTGCTTATCTATTTTATGTACAGTACTGTGTATCTGCTAATCCCAAACTTCTAATTTATCCCTACCCCCACTTTCCCCTTTGGTAACCATAAGTTTGTTTTCTACATCTGTGAATCTGTGTTTTGTAAATAACTTCATTTGCATCATTTTTTCAGATTCCACATATATGTGATATTATATAATATTTGTCTTTCTCTTTCTTTCTTCACTTAATATGATAATCTCTAGTTCTATCCATGTTGCTGCAGATGGCATTGTTTCATTCTTTTTTATGGCTGAGTAATATTCCATTGTGTATATATGTGTGTGTGTGTGTATCACATCTTATTTATCCAATCATCTGTCATGAACATTTATAGATCTCAAACATTTCAACTTTCCATACTCACGAATACAGTGTTATATTCATTCCTATATGGGCAAAAATGATACAAGAATGTTATTACAATACATTGAATAGATGGTGATGAGAGTGGCTCTCCTGTCTGGGAGGAACTCAGGCCAAGTTCAAACATCAGCATTTTGCAAAATCCTAATAAGAATATCTTAATGATAATCAGCAAAAATATGAACTGTGACATCGATTTTAAAATGCAACCATATCTTTGTAAATTCACTTCTCTATTACACAGAAAAGGAAGTACATCACACAAAATTCATCATCATATTGATAAATGAATGTCCATCAGGCAGATGAGACAAAGCTAAATCATGTGCAATGATGTGTCTATTTGTTGGATAACTGAATTTTTCTTTTGGTGATTTCCCATGGCTTTCTATCAGAAGTAGAGAGAAACCAAAACATGGATACAAGGAGTGGGTATAGCTCAGTGGTAGAGCATGTGCCTAGCATGCATGAGTTCCTGGGTTCAATCTCCAGTACCTCCGTTAAAAAAAAACTGATCATAAATAAACCGAATTACCTCCCTCCAGAAAAATCTTAAGTAAATAATTTTTTTTTATTGAAAAAAAAAGTGGATACTCATCTTAGCACTTACCTCATATGGGTGACGACAAGTGTGGGGCTGGGGATGTAAAAGTCGTCCACACGGTCAAAGTGCTTTCCCACCGGCTGGGTGTGGATGGTGTGGTGAGGGGTGTTCCCGCTGGCCAGGGTTATGACCTACACGGAACAGCACGTTTAGACCTGGCAAGCCATGTCCTCCATAGCACCAGATGTGAAGTAAATCTTTGGCAGTTGTCTGCCTAGACTCTTTACTCCCACCCTCAAATTAGTATATTATCAAGCAAATTGGAATTCTGTAATTGGTTGCTTATTTTCAAGGTAGAAGCTGCTGCTGCTACAGAGAAAAAAATCGAAAAAGGTTTGTCTGCTTAAAATATAAAACATGCATGTAAGTAACTTATGTATTCTAGAAATGTTATTGCTAAAATGAGAAAAATAAGAAGTGGACATATGAGGTAAGTGAGATACTCACTTGCTTTTTTTTTTCTTTCTTTCTTCTTCAGTTCCTTTCCTCCCTTCCTTCCTTCCCTCCTTCCTTCCTTCCTCCCATCCTCCCTCCCTCCCTCCATGGCTTTATTGAGGAACAACTGATAAATAAAAACTTCCCTCTCCTATAAAAGATTTGGAAACATAGAACAGAGAACTCAAAAAAATACCACACGAACAATTTTTGCTCTTAGAAATCTTAGAATAGAGCACCACATTTTGAACCTCTTTTTTCCTTTTACACATAGAAAATAACAGATTTAAGTAAGTTTTAATCATAGAGGTTTCTTCTAACTATTTATCATTAATTGGTCTTGGAAACTCTCATAGTTCATTAAAGAACAAGATCACCACTTTTGAGCTCCTTTATTCCTTATACACCATTGCACACCACATTCTATCAGCTCCTCCTCCCGATTTCTCACACCTCCACCTTTGCTCTGTTGCCCTTGTTGCAAAGCCATTGCTCTGGATTTTGCCTTTTGAAGCACCCTCCTGCCTTTATTTTTCCCCTTTAAATCATTTCTACATATTATCACAAAACGAAACTTCCTAAACTAGTGACTGCCTAAATTAAGTAGCATTTCATCCCCCCAAACTGAATGTTTTCCTTTGGTTTTTAAGACAGAAGCAAATAGCATTTTTATTTTTAGGGTTTTTTTCCCCAAAAGGTTAATTTCTCTTCATTCAAATGCGTATAATTTCATGAGTTCCATTGGAAATTGCCAAGCTCAAGAAAATGGATTATTACAACCGTCAGGATAGATGCAGTTATGTGACAGTCAAAAAAAATAAATAAATGAAACAGAAACAAATCTTTACATCTTAGTGGCTTAGAAAATAGAGATTTTGTTTCATACCTGTTGCTTCCTCAGAGGGCTCTGGCAGGAGATCTACTGTTCCTAGTATTTTCATTCCTTTTCCCATGAGGAAGGAGCAGCCCATGAGGGAGGATCTTTGAATGTTTCAGCTCATGAAAGGCCTCATTTGCCGAACTAATCATATGGCCCCACCCAACCAAAAGAAGACCCCCATGTGCCCAGAGGGGGAGAGAACCAAATATGTGGTGAAGTTTTAAAGACACTATATCTATTTTATTAATGAGTTTCAGTGAGAAACCCCTCCCTGGTTTTTAGCCATTCATAATAATGCCTAAAAGACTTTAATAAAAATCAACAAGATTAATTCCAATGGAACTCTCCAAATTTTCTTCCCTTTGGATTGTATAGAAGTATATAATTCTCAAAATGCATGCACGTGTATTTTAAATTAATAATAATACTTAGACTAACAGAAGTAATAATAATAATAATAATATTTACTAAGAGCATGCTATGTTCCAATATATGTCCTGAATAGTTTACAGGCATCACAGAATTTAATACTGAAACAAAGCGATAATATGTGTATTGCTTCCCAAACTTACAATACAAACTTACACGATGCAAAAATACTTCACACCACTGAAGATTATCTGAACCTCTCTTCTGTGCTTGGCATAGTCCTAGGTAGTAAAAAGAAAAGCCACTTCCCCAGTGTAAGTCTGGGCTTTATTTCCTGATGGGTTAAGGTCCTTCTCGCTGCTAGAATTGAGCAGGAAGTAGTGAATTTCCAGGTTCAGGACCGAACCCACTGACTTTAAGGACATAGGTTGATCTGTGATATACCTTAATCAATAGGGCCAGTCTGACAACAACCTTGCTGGCCTCGCTCTGTGCCACACCTTCTGCAAACCCAGAGCCACCGTCTGCCCCGTCACCCCATCTGGCTGGGACTTACTTCCTGGCCAATGGCAGAGTGTGAAGATTTTATTCCAATTGTTTCCTGAGGATATTTTCTTCTCTAATTGTTTGTACATTTGCAAAAACACTACACAAAGATCCTAAAACTGTGCAGATGATGGACTCATAAGTTTTAGCTTTTTACAGAATTTCCTAAATTTTCATAAGGCATAAATGCCCTCTAAAAATACCTATGATACATCTTTTTGAGAATTCGTCTGAGAACACTAGATGGAAAAATCACTGTCTTAATCACCTAAAATTATGACAATTCATGGGGTTTTATGAATTAATTGTAAATATCAGAGAAAATAAGACATATGGCTTTCCTAATTTACAAAGATGTATAGATTTAATAAGATTCAACATGAAAGCACAAAAGAGGGCGTTTGGATCCTTGATAAAAATGCTTCTGCACCTTCAAGGGTCAGTGGGTACCATTATACGTTCTACTGCATTAGGGCTAAACAGCTACCTCCTAGCCTGCACACCCTAGCATCAGTCTCTTTACAGTAACTTCAATATTATGGTACAGGGACACTCCAGTGAAAAAGAGAGCTTGCCCACATGTTCTGATTTGCTCAATTCAATTTCTCCAAAGGAAAGTCAGTTCCCTTTTTTCAAACAAAACTCGAATCCCATTTCTTTGGGAGATATTTCCTGATAATCCTCTTGGGAGACAATTATCCATCACTATTCTGACATTTCTGCGGAGTCAGGTCTTTCTGAGCAAAAAGCATTGGCTAACTTGGTTAAAGGATGATGGGCCGAGCCAAAATGTCTCGGAAGCCTGAGATGGAGTATTGCTCCTGAGAGATTTAGAGGCTTAACTCATCTAAGTTGTTACTGATGTGCCCACACACTGACTACCCCTCCTCTCCCAGGAGAAGGTTTGCACACGTGCCAGAGTATCTGTCTTTCTCTCTCTCTCTCACACCAAAGGGAGGGACTTAAAACAACTTAGGGACATGGGATTCCAGGCTCCTTCTAGTCACTCACCACATCACCCTATGTGGGTTGAGGATGGAAAATAAAAACTAGCACTTTCCATGAGTAAGACACAATCTGTTCTCTGATTCCGAGACCCAGTCACTTATCTGTCTGTCTGTCTGTCTATCTATCTCCCTGTCTTTATACATACAGAAATATACACATACAGTCTTTATCTAAATAAATCTTGTATATGTACTATTTTAAGAGCAATTCCTAATTCCTATATTTTATATTTTCAGATGTGAGACTAACCTTTCACTCCCACCTAGCAAATATTTTAAAAATTCACTGAATCTTATTAGTATGTTTTTAAATTAGAACTTCAGAGAAAAAGAACCCATTTTAGATGGCTAGATAATATGTGGGAATTTCTCAACACTGCTACAATGAGTCATTGTTAAAATGTATGCACACACATATATATACATATATATCTGTCAAGTCCTCATATAAACGATTTCAAACATAAGCAAATTCCCCAGAAATGACAGCACATTTTCTCCAATTCGAAATGAGCCTGCACTCAGAGAGTAAAATAATGTGTGTTTGGAGAAAAATGGAGACCTGCTTTGAGATTCTGCCCAAATCTCCTGGTCTCTGTCTCACATGCTCCATCCAACAGGCACCATTTTAAAGAGAAATGGAGACAATAAAATTCTCATGAAAATCAGAAGGAAGCACAGAACTGTCAAAAGGTAAACTATAACTTTTTTATTCCCAATGGCATGTGCTTTGTCATCATAGGTTATTCTTTTTGCACATGAATCTAATGCTTGGTAAGTATGACCTAGAACATTTTCCAACCCGAAAAAAGGCACTTGAGTATTGACAATTCTTCCCCTTCTTTGCAGATCTAGATGTATTTAAAATCCATTTCTCAGATGGAAGACCATCATTGTTAAATGGTTATAAATACCCAGTTAGATATCTAAATGCTTAAAGATCACTATTTTCTCAAATATACTGAAGTGTACTTACCTGAAGTGTCGGAGAAGCCTTGTCCATGGTACCCCAGCTGAGCACCCAGACCTGATCGTGCGATTTGTCATAGTGTAATTTCACTGGGACTGGGTCTGTGCTTACTGCCTGCAATAAACAGGAGTTGAAAAAGTTTTCAGACTGAAATACTGGGCTGAAACTAGGCTAGAAATTATGGAAGACTCCTAGCTTTTGGATATCAGATTAAACATTTCTGTTGTCCATTATCTAATTTTCTAAATCCTTATTTAATGAATTTGGAAACATGATACCTGACTCAAACGTTTTTGTACCCTTTTAGATAGTCTTATATTCATTCATTACTCATGCAAATTGTGTTTGATGGAGAAGCTATTTAAAAACTCAAGATATAAGTGATTAATATGTGTATTTTAATTTTTGAATACAGGTGAGAACTATGTTTACCCTATTAGATTTTTCTAACCCAAAGCTGGTTATTGGATTTAGCCATCTATAATGCTAAAACACCAATGATTTGATCTACGGTTGTAACTATCATAACAGATTACCTAATTTAGTTTCCTTAATGAGAAATCTAAAACAATAGAAAAAGGAAAAGCATTTTTTTTGTATCATACTTGATATGGTAAATGAGTTTTCCTGCTAACATTTATAATACTTAGCATTTACTGAAAACAAAACTTCCAGAAAACAAATTGCTGCTGGTAAGTTATTTCATTCACCTTAATTCCAAGCTATTTATATTACAAGTGAACACCTTTTTGAAGTAATTTCCTGTAATAGTTACATATTTTCTAATTTTATAACACAAAACAAGTTGTATTCAATAAAAGAACCCTTATGCAATAGTAAAGGCATTTCATCCCCAAGTTCTAGTGAATATATTTATAGAATTTCTCAAATCCTAGTTCATGATGTAACCCTCTTCACAGTGGGTTGAACACACAGATTCATATTTTATCTAACATGTTAGCAATTTAGTCTTACTAAAGTATTTCTTTTCTAAAACCTTGTCCTATATTTTATCTATTTAAAATTCTCAATATTCTTGGATTAGAAGTAATTATTGCATTTCTGAACAGACCTATTTAAATACTTCTGTATGCTTGACCTTATGCCTTTCTTTCTGTCTAACAGAGCCATGATGTTGTTTTGGGTTCAGGTGGGCAGCAATGTTCTCAGGGAAGGTAGCCCACTAGGCTAGCAGCACAGATTTTACCCAATGACTAATCTCATTCCCCTTTGACAAGTGCTAATTGTCCCAACATCTCTAGAGGTTAGAGGTGGTCACATGGCTTATCCTAGTTTATACATTGTAAAGATGAAGATGATGGATGAATTGTGAGAATGATATGAATTCCCATCAAAATAGACAGGTGGAGACTTCCTTGTACCATCCTTTCCCTTTCTTCCCGCCTTAGATGCTGCCATATGAAGACACTAAGGCTCAAATTCCAAAGCCATTTTGAGATCATGAAACAATAAGCTTAAGAAGGAAAAGGCAACAATTTGAGGATTCAGCAGGAGAAAAATGAAAGGAGACTGAATTTTTCAGTAACAGCCTTGAGATGCTGCGTGAACCTAGAATAACTATCCTGAGACTGGATGTTATTTGTGATAATTAAATGGTTCTATTGCTTAAGGAAAAGTTAGCCTGGTATTTGGTTAATGGTACTCAGGTGAATGCCAGATGTTTCATTTCAAGTCTTCATGTACTGATCAATAATTTCAATGGGTATATAGTGAAAGAATCATCATTAACCATTACACTAATAACAAAGCAATAAGATTCTTTTGATTTTTCATATTTTCCCCTTTTATGTTAAACTTGATCTGTGTGTGTTTATAATAGTCACCCAATTCTGCATACAACTTAAAATGGAATATAATCTTTAGGCTCTTAAAATGTTAAAGATAAAATAGTTCAATAGGACAACAAAAGTAACAGTAACAAAGACATTGTTATCCAATCGGTGGGATACCGTTAAAAAAAGAACAAAGATCCTTAGATAGCTTTAAATAGTAGAGAACCATTTTTTTAATATTTTATTTTACTTTTTTGCATTTTTTATTGAGTTATAGTCATTTTACAATGTTGTGTCAAATTGAGAACCATTTGAATAAAAATTTTTGGCTGGCCAGCTCTCCTAAGGTTCTTTCCTTTCTATGAGACTCTTTCATAAATATTATCTTATGGGCATACCACAATCTCTAGGTTCTGTTAATAGCCACATAAAATGGGATAAGACACCTGAGACTGTGTCTTACCAGTCACCAGCCAGCCAGTGGTCAGTGGGCCTGGGGTCTGAGTCTGTGATCCTGCCCAGAGTGGGAACTTCTCTATCTACTAAAGACTATCTCTGCTCACTGATAGTCTCATTTCTGACAGTGTGTGGGTATGTTGCACTCCTATTTATGCCTTGTGGATGAGAAGCATTCTTTTGTTTTTATTTTTGTTTTTTCTCTTTTGGAAGGTGAAAAGAAACCCAAGGGGCTCAATGATATGGAGCAGCATTTGTGTAAGGAGCACAACTGCAGTGGAAAACCACTGGCAGGCACTATACCCCGTGCTTATGAGCAAGCATTTTTATTGTAGGTGATTAGGTTCTTGTCTTGTCACAGAAATAATTCAGAGACAAGACACAGAAGTTAAGAAAGTAAAGCGAGGATTTATTAAGAGATGGGTAGTGCACTCTCAAGGGGAGAGTGGGCAGACTCAGGTGAGCAGCTGCCCTGAGCTTCTTTGGCACGTTGGTTACACAGGGTGTAAAAGTGAATGGGCAGACTGTTCATTGGGGAGGGAAGGGTTTGGGGAAGTAGTCCCTGATTTTCATCCCAACTCCACCTTCCTGAGGGGAGGAGGGATTTTTTTGCCCTTATTTAGTCTGGATTGGAGATGTCATGGTATTAGTGCATGATGGGTTCTTCTAATCTGCAAGGATCATTTTATTGTAATGAGGGCATAATGAGCAAAAGGTTACTTTTGGACACTGGAGATTCCTACCTTTTCCAGTGTTTCTTTGTTGGCCTCCAGGGCACTTGTCACTCCAAAATGTGTGACTTCAAATCTTAGCATCTTTACTTAAACTTTAACAATAACAATAACAGTAATAATAATAATACCATTGGAAGTTACTAACCTTTCCTGTGGCTCCAAATAAAATGGAGACTGTAATAACACCTACTTCAAAGAGTCACTGTAAATATTAGATAAGGTAGTAAATGTAACAAATATAATGTGTTCAGAGTGTGCCTGGTGCCTGTTGAGCACCACAAAATACCACTACAACTACTGCTAGAGAAATTAACTGAACTAGAGGTATAGTCATGACACAGCTCATGACACAGCACCATAGCGTTTTAGAGACACACTACTCTCATTGAGCAAATGAAGAAACTGAGACCTGGGAGAGGTTATTTACTGTAATAAACAGAGTCTGTGTCCTGGAAGAGTTTGCAGGTGAGAGGCTGAAAGAACTTAAAAGAACTTGAAACGCGTTTCGTGAAATAAAAACAAGGAGCAGATCCCATGGGAGCTCAGAGGATGAAGAACGGTGTACACAATGGGGGGGTGATGCTTCAATTGAGCCTTCAAGGATGAACCTTGTTTTATAAGTGGCGAGACAGAGACAATTTTTAAAAATTCACTTATGAGAGAGGGTATGTCCCAGGAAGCGTCAGAAGGCAGTTCCTAATTAATCTTCTTTAAATAAATTAAGAGATACGTTTTTGAAGGAACAAAATACCAATTTTCAAAACAACTTCAGAATTTAAAAAAATGTTTGTCTCCAAAATTTGTGAACATGTTGTGTTTCAGCATTTCAAAGGTTTGGCATTAAATTCAGTTTATTTTGGTGTTTGGTTCTAAAAGCTCACCAGAACGGAAAAAGACATGCAGACAAAAATGAAGAAAAGTCCTTTTGACATACTTTACTGGGAAAAGGTTTAACTCTTAGGAAAAATCTATTTATAAGTTTTCGAGCATGTGGATAGAACACATTTTACACAGAGAATGTTTCCATGGTTTTCAGCAATATCATACAGCAATAACAAAAATCTTTCCAAACAACTGTCTTCAGGATCATCTTGGCTGTAACCCAATTTTCAGTCAAAAAAATATGTTTTCCTCTTGAAATTGTCAACTTTTGAAAGGGTGAAATTCCAGGTGTTGGATGTTATAAAATATCTGAAATTCCACTTTGGAAAATAAGCGATCAGTAAATTTAGACCATCAGCTTTTGTAAAAGAGAAAGACACTATTTTTCTCTCTCTCTCTCTCTCTCTCACACACACACACACACACACACACAAATGCTTGTCACAATTAAGTCCTTAAGCTTAATGAAAAAAGAAGGTAAACATTGTATTGCCAGTGATGGTCCTCTTCCTCCTAGGCCTCACGTCCCACGTGACTGCATCCTTCTCAACACTGAGCTCTTTGTCGCTCCTGCCCCTCTGCCCCTACACACAGAGCCTCTGGAACCCCCTCTCATGCTTCCTACCTTTGAACCTTCTGCTCATCAACTTTCTCGACCGATTTGTCAGAGCAATTTTTTTTCTTTTTTCAGTAAGCATTAGACAGATCATGACATCCATGTGCTCAAAACACTACAGCATCTTCTCATATCCCGCAGAGTAAAAGTCCAAAGCCCCTATAATGACCTGTCACTCCCCAGTCTGCTTTCTGAGACCCCCCTCCTCCTCTCCTCCGATGTCTCCAATCCAGATGCTCAAGCCTCCTTGCTGTTCCTCCAACACACCAGCCACGCTTCTGCCCTTGGAGAGCTTTCCCCTGGAACCAGGCATCTTCCACAGGTGCCCCAGCAGGTGCTTCCAGAGCACCTAGGCTGAGAATCCACCACCTGGGTGACGCCAGTCTGAACATCCTATTTCAAACTGTAACCAGCCTGCCCTTTGTGCGTTTCCCTTCATCCTCATCTTCACCAATCCCACATGAACCGCTCTGTTTTACCCTTTCCAAGAGCACTGATCACTTTCCATATTGTATAATTTACATATAAATTTTAGCTATTTTATTTTTCATTGTCTGTCTCCATCCAGTGGGTTCTAGGCTCCAAGCAGGCAGACCTTTCGTGTTTGTGTAGCTTGGCGGTATAACCTATGCA